CCCCCCCCCTCCCTTTTGTCCAACACACTGGGACTCTCTGTTTACTGTTTAAACCTGTTTGGCTGTAATTTCATGATCGGAACTATTTTAGGTACCTCTTTGGAATGATCATCAACTCATTGGGGACAGCATTTTATCTCGTTTTTTTTGTAAAGTTGAGCCATCTAAGACTCAGGCTACTTATGACCCTAAATGTAAGTACCACTTTGGTTTAAAATTTCTTTTTCCTTTTCATCAAAATTGCACTGTGTATCATTATTCTCTTATCCGCGTCTTCAACAGTGAACTGCAAGTGCCTGGGATATGTTGTGCATGGGCAGACAACTGGCCAACTACTTCGCCGTCTTAAAGTGAAAGGAGGTGGTGGACTACACAAGAAAGTTCTAGTTCTAATTGGGACAAATGATGTTACCAAGGTATTTACATTTCTGTTTATTTTCATCAATAGAAAGAATTAATAGAATTTTGTACAAGAATGACAATGTGATTTAATAATTTTACAGGGTGTACCAATGAGTAACGTGATCCAAAATTTAAAAGAAATTCTCATTGAATTTCAAAAATTGTCTATATTTCCTGTATTTTGCACAATACCTCCAATCCCTAAACTGAAGGAATCTTGTGAGGTCTTCAATACAATTTTACGGGGAGTTGTGGAGCAGAAAGGTAATTTTAAAGTTTTCTCTCTTCTTATTGTTTTACGTTAGTTATGATGTTAATATGCAAATCTGTTGCAGCTACCGTTATTGATATTAGTGGCTTATTTAAGAAAAGTGACGGAGGTATCAACTCCAACCTATTTCAAATGTAAGTCAAAAGTTGAAAATATTAATGGACTGATGCAATTCCTGAATAGGTGTTTGACATTTTTTGTGACATTACTTTTGTATTGGAATGTGCAGGAAACATCCCAGTGGCAAGGTGGATGGGGTTCACCCAAACACCCAAGGTCTGTTGAAGATGTCAAAACAAATCGAAGTTGATCTATCTGCAGTTCTATCTATTGATGAAGAAATGAAATAATGATAAATGAATTCATGACAACCATTGTTAAATTACTTCTATTTCCTTTGCTCTTTTTTACTTAAATGTAATATAACATATGATTATATACCTAACCTAATGAATTTGTTTTAAATACAATCTATAAGCAAGTATACCTGTTTTATATTTTCATAGTGCCTATTCACAGAAATATAGTTGAACTCTATGCATGCTTCGGCTAGTGGCATTTTTGGTTCGACTAATTGCAGAGGTAGTCGATGACCCTGTTCAGTCTTAGTCAAAACAGGGGTCAGATAGTGGGGCTGTGATTCGATTCTCAGCAGCAGCGCATTGTTTCCCGTGTGAGCAACTGGACTGCGGGTCCCTCTGCCTGTGCACGGTGCAATGGGTCCACATTTAATCGCTGCACCTGGTATCGCCACCAGTGACTCCTATCACCTCCCTGTAGCGCCTGACAAGTCGTGGTTATGCAGTCCCGCCATACATTAATGTGCCATCGGCTGCCTACCTACCAGGCGCCGGACCGTGCAGGTTGTTTGCAACGTCTTATGTTTTAACCCACTTCGCTCAGCTACCCCGAGCATTCTGACCGCGCTCGGGCCCCTAGTTATAAACCGGAACCTCCCGACCTTCTCCCTGGGGATCATTAGGCCTTTTGGGGTGATAAGTTGTTATTGTTTTGATTTGATGGTAATGAGTGTT